TCTAGATGTTTTACAATATTGTCGTCTAATATTTTATTTTGATCAATTCCAGATCAAGCAAAGAACCACACAGGGTTATTTTCTTACAAGTTCTCCAAAAACCACTGTTTAAATTAAACAAAAATGAAAGAAATTTCCCTCATATACAGAAAATTTATTTTCTCATATAAACTCTAAACAGCAAAGGAATTTCTATGGCTTTCCTCCACTGCAGACTCTTATCAGGCTCAGCTGCGAGTTAGTGCACGCCTTGTGCGCAGCTGTTGTGCTCAGGAAGGGGTCAGCGRTCCCTTGGCCATAGGGTAGACCCAAAGGAACGTGAATTGTTATTCCCGAAATAATTGCAGTGAAATCATGCCACAGCAATGGCAGCAGCTGCCATGGGACAGTCATTCCACCCCCAGGAGCTCATCCCTCTGCAAAACTCTGGCAGTGAAGCTGCTGCTGCTCATATCCCTGCAGCTTGCCACTTGGGTTTTCTACAATGTCACCATCTTCTGTGTGAGATACCACAGAAGAGTGACCAGTGACAAATCCCAGTGGTCCTGAAGATCTTGCTCAGGCCAAGCTCACGCCACAAATGTCTGCTGGCAGTGCCACAGGCGTGATCTCCAACCCGTACATCTGTGTTGGCAAAAGCTCTTATGTAAGTGCAATTAAAGCAKCAAACCTGCACTTTTACTGAGATTAGTTTTGATCTTTATTCCTGCATGCCCAGGAGCAAAAGCTCATATCACCAACTATATCCAAACTCAGAAACTTTCTCCTGGGAGATACCTGCACTGAGGAGTGYCCCTTTTCCCATAGGACACCACACAGATACTCTCCCCCTCTCCAGCTTTTGAGTTATGGAGTACGCAGACAGCAGCAATGACTTTCATGTAGCTGACAGAAGGAATGCTTTCCTTGTGCTGACTTCACTCTTTTGAGAGCCTTGCTTTAGTACAGCAAACATCTGACCTCCTGTTTTAAGAAAATCAGCCTTAGAAGTTTTTCTAAAAATAACTGCTATCAGATAAATCTACTTCTGACCTTGGAGTTGGGTTTTTTTTTTTCTTTTTGCCTCTAGTATGCTGTCTCACATCCTGAGCTTTTAGTGCAAATGCTGCTTTGACTGTTACAAAATAAAGATGGGTGAGGAGATAAAAACATTTAGTATTTAAGAAAAAGCAACACAGGTTACCTGCAGACTGGCAAGTCAGGTCACTCAGAGGCACAGCCAGACTGCTGAGCTCCTCTTCAGCTATTGTGCTTACTCCATGGTCAAGGAATAATTATTAGAAGCTGTTGTCATTAAGCAATTAATATTTTCTTTCAACAACAACTTTGAAATGCAATGAAAGATTGCTTCTAAGCCTGCATAAATTAAGGAAAACCCTGTAAAAGAATTTATGCTTAGCTGATGGTTTGCTCTCTGCCCCTATAGTTACATCACCTGCATCATGAGATGTGAGATAGACCTCTGTGTTTTCTGAAATCTGCCACAATTGAGCAGTTTAAAGATTTTTTTCAAATTTGGGTATCGCTAACAAGGTTTTCATTCTCTTCTTTGTGCCTTTTCYTTGGTGATAATCAGGAGGATATATTTGGATTCACTTAAGAACACAACCCTGCTGTTTACTAGGAGGCTTCTGCAGCATCTGGCGCCAGCCCTGCTCCCTGGCAGGGAGCAGACCTCAGGGTGGGGGAGTGTTCTGCTTTCTGTAGAGCTTCTCACTCGTCACRGGGATGCTGCCGTGCCGTCATGATGAAAAAATGTTGGCTTTGCTTTTGTTGGTCAATACTGAGAAATTATTCCTGACAATTCTGCTGTGTRTTTTGGGAGAAATCTGTTTTATTCTTGGACTGTGTTTTTAAATGAACAACAATGCTGCCCATCTAAAGTGCTTAGTTAAGATTTTATTTGTTTAATGCATTGGTTTGTTCAAGGAAATTTAAAAAATTAGAGTAGTAAGTTCATCAAGCAGGCCTGTGTCTGGATTAAATTAAAATTGTCTTCCATTCAGTTACTCAAATATTTTCCTGATCACTCAGTGAGCATATTACATTTTCCCTTCTACTTGTGGTTTCTCTTCCTTGCTTGTGGGTGGAACTCCAAGTCTTCCTCTGATAAAAGCTTGTGGCATTTGTTTAGCTGCCCTACCCTAAGCACACAGCACACGGACACCRAGATGTTGTCAGCTTTGTAACTGTGACAGAAATACATCCATAGCTCCTGAGAACAGGCATGGCTGTGGGTATGCAGATACACCAGAGCACAGTGTTGTAATTGATGTCACTTCATACCTGGATCTGGATCACTGGAGCACAGTGACTGGCAGTAGTTACTGTTCAAATATCATCAATGTTATTTTGTTCACACCAGGGCTGCTGGAGYCCTGCGAGGGAGGTAGGGCAGGGCAGGAGCTCCTCTGAGCTCAGGTGAAGGCACACAACCTGTGAGGGTTGCCCAAAGCACTGGGAAATGCTCCTGATACTGAATGGTCACCATAAAGAAACCGTTTTCATCACTCATTTGCACTCGGGCTGGTGTAGGAGCAAAGAAAGGAGTGGGACAGGAATTCAGGGCAATACATCTAATAACTGGCATTTCTGTACATCTAGGACCCTCTATGCTCCTCAGGGACCCTCCTGGGACCTTCCATGTCTGAGTTCTAGGAGTCTTTGGCTCTCAAAGTCTTGGGTAAAAAAAAATTAGTCTGGGTGGAATTACCTAAGAATGATAGAAAAATTCTGGGACTGGAATTCTCAAGCACTTGGGGAGAGTCAGATAGATCATTCTTTCAGTCTCAAGCTGTTTAGTTTGCTCTAGTTTGTTTGGATAGGAGCAATATTGTATGAGTTTGGTGCTGAATTCATTATCAGTGTGTGTTAGGACTCATTAGAGCCTTGCTGTCCAATTGTATCTCAGAGAGGACTACATATTTGCTGCTTGCCCAATTCATGACTCTCCATCAGAGTTAGGTGAGATGTGGGTGCCAAGATGCAAAGGTCTACCACCACAGCAGCAGCTGTGAGCATGCACAACAGAAAGCCCTGAAGTATTTACTAAAACGCTAGGAAAACAACAACTTGGAAATAAACAACTATTTTTTGTTCCTGAGACTGGCTTTATTATTAGATACTGTATCTTCTTTCTTTTCATSCTTTTGCAAAATGGGTATTTTCTAGTCATCTTCCAAAGTCAGTTTGCTGACTAAAAAGCAATAATTAAATTTATATATTGGGGGGGTGCAAATGGACAAAAGTGTGATTATTGTCTTTTGGAGCCTTTTATGTTGTATATAGAATGATTTGGGTGTTAAAGCTGATTATGAAAATCCAGTTTACCAGGAAATATCAGCGAAATTCCCATTTTGATCCAGCTGTTCTTTTCCTCAGCAAAGAGCAACTCTGTAGCAAGTGTGCTCCATTTGCACTGCTCTTTCATTAAACTACTCTTGGGAGACTCCAGACTGCTAGACTCTTAAAACAGTAAAAGCTTTTTTGTAGAAGTAACTGTATGACATTTGATTTTTATAGCTCGTAAAGATATTTGGAAATATTTGCTTTCTTTTCCAATTTATTTTGTAATTTTTGAAAYCTTTGTTTTAAACTGAGTGGCATAAATAGACTCAGCAGCCAGTAAATCCATTGGGCCTTCTGCATACTAGGAAAACATCTGCCTGTTCTGCCGTGCTCAGAACGAACTACAGAGATTTCCCTGACTCAGACAAAATTAGAAAATGAACTTMTTTGACAAGCTAAAATCACCCAGTTGAATAATTCTCTTCCAATTAACTTCCCTCCTATTACTACTTCATTCCAGTTTCTATCTCTTTTTCATCTTGCTCTAAGAACTCATTTGCTTTCTGTATTATGTTTAATATGGGTTTAAAGCTGCAGACCTGGATGCTGTCCTGGTGCCTTGCCTGAGAATCGCTTGTGAGACAGAACTGGATTTCCTGTTGTTTGTGCTGAAACTATTAAAATTGTGGTTTTCTGCTTCACGAAAGCTGCTGAGTGGAAAAAAAAATGCAGTATGAAGTGACAGGATGTCACCTCACCAGATTTACTCCAAATTTAAAAAAAATTGCAATTAATAACTTACTGTATAGATGAACTGAATAGTAGGTTTTGTTTTACTTTGGTTCTAAAGTGACAACCTGAAAAGGAGCTAACCCTATTTGGAGGAAGGGAGTTGTATTTTTTTTTTCATTTATTGAAAAAGGAATTGTTTGTTGCACTACGTTTTATTTATATTTTTTTTTTTTTTTTTTTTATATTTTTTTTTAAATTTGGTTTCTTGAACTTTGAGTACGAGGTGAGCACGGGAAGTATCAGTTTTCTGGCTGAGGGTGGGTGGGTCACTGTTGGCAGCACAGACTTTTTAAAAAGCTACAGAAAAGAAAGCTTTGACTGTTCAGAACTATTTTAATGCATTCARTGTTCTTTAYAGACTGGAAGTGATGAGTACRCCAAGTTACAAGTGCAGATTTCTAWGAATGTTTGATACAAAATTATGTTGTTAACACTGGACTGCAAGAAGGTCCAAGAGCGGGTGCCTTTGGGGAATCTTGCTTCAATAACCATGAAAAACAAAAAAGGAACTGATTCTTTATTTTAAAAATAGTTCTCTTATGAGTAGATTGTTGAAATAAAAGAGAAGGATGACAAATTGAAGAATGAACTTGAAGGTGTACTGGGAGAAAAACTCCATCTAGGCTCAATTAAGATTTTTGATTTGTATTTAAGCATTAGTTAAATAATTTTCTGACTAGCATTATTTCAGCAATCAAGGAACTGAATATCCTTTACTACAGTTGAATAAAYTCTGAAAGTCAATCCCTCGAACAGCTGAAGATGTCAAATAAATGTGTAATCACGCAATCTGATTGAATTCTGATGCTGGTGAGCAAACAGCTCAAGGTTTTAAGAAGTACTGCTATTCACCACAGGCTTATTTTTTATGTGATACAGGCTGTGCTGCTAATCAGATGTGGTATGTTTCTGTCTTGCAGATTTACCRCTGGATTATAGATTTACACGATTTTCCCCAAATAGTTCAGCAACTGCTGGGTACTACCCAAGCCCTCCAAGAGCWCTGCTGCCAAATGAGGACTCAGTGACTATGAAATAGGTTGTCAGCTTTTTCCTYAAATAACCCTGTGGCCCTTACTTAAACTGCTATCAAATGCTAATTGGTGAAAATGCTGTGTGATGCTTCATAAAATAGAGTGATGGATTAAAGCAGACTCCTGTGTAGCTTTGTGTTTCATTTGTTTCTATAGCCAGAAGAGTTGAGTGATGCATCCTTCTCTCTAGGTCTTCTGACCACCACTACCTTTCACAAATTGCTGCTGGCTTTTTCCATGCACTGTCCACAGCCTTCAGAAGAAATGTGATAGTAATAGCTCATCCCAAGTTACAGTCTGCATTTTCGAGGACATTTTAGGTTCTAACCCTATATAAGGTGATGCTGTTGCTACCATGAGCYCCAGGAAAGGCACAAAACAGATCCTCAGCCATATTTCAATTAAAAGTTACCTTGGACAGCCCAGGTTATCACCACAGATCACTGTTTTGCAGGCTCTGAGGAATTTATTCTCCCATTGTAACTATTCTTGGAGATGATAGAGAAAGACTGCATTCCAAAGAGAAAGATTCATCATACTCAAAGAGGGACTGGAATGGGATTTAGGCAACTAAAGCTGACTGATAGTTCTGAAAGCCTTTGTCCATGCTTATTCTTCAATACCTCAAGAATCAGAGCTCTTCTGCAGAGGAGGGAAACMTGCGTAGAGTTTCCTTCTCCAATGGAATGGATACAAGTCCACAAGTCCCATCTCCATCTCCCTGGGAAATCCTTCCAAGAGTGGGAAGGATATAGAAACCAGCCTCAGCCAGAAAAGGAGCAGGACTGAAGGCATAAACTGAATATTACTAATCTGAGCAAACAGGAATCCTGTTCTCTGTTGGTTTAAGTCCAAAGACTTGTTCTCCAGCACTTAGGACAGGAAGCCCTCAGTAATTAACASAGGCTAGCAGATGCAAAAACATATCAAATATTTCTCTTGTCAGCAGTTTTGTCACACTGGGATGGCAGAATTTTGGATAAATTTCCCTCAAAATTTAAAGAATAATAAACAGAAACCTGATTTTCTTGTTTCCGAGGAAAAGAACTCACTTTGTTAGACCTAGACAATTACCAGAATGGACTTAGCTYGTATTAACACTTAATTTGTGTCACCAAAACTCACTCTGTATTTTTGCAGCTTCACCAGTTGAAATATTTTGTGTYAGAATCAGACACAAACACCATTCCACCTCATTTCAGAGATACTGGCCTCTGTCTGCATATTTTTTTCCCGCCTTTACATAGAATGTTATTTTTACATTCTTGTGGATCAGTATACTTGCAAGTAATAAACAACATTTCCGAATTAGCATTAAGTATTGGTTTATTAAAAGGAAAACGTGAAACAAATGAGGACAAAATTTATAAAAACTTTAAGACCAGGTGGTTAAGGAATGAAAATRCCATTCTGCTCCTCATAAACTGTAGGCTAAAAATATTTGACTTAAGATGGTAACAGTTAGTAATAGTTGAGTTTATTTGGATTTCTTTTAATTAGCATCAATGTATTCGGCAGAAAATCTGCCTCRCGACAGAGGGATATGATTTGTATTAAGGAGAGAGATACCAGATTAAAATCTCTGATCCCTGATTACAGCATCATTGAAATTCAAACCAGAACAAAGTAATCTTCTGCAAATAATTTCTAACTAATTTATGGTACAAACCCATATTGTGTACCCTCACACTTCCATTGTTATGGATTTGGAACTGATTTCCATAGGTTGGGGTTTTATTTTCCTTTTTTAAAAAAAAAGAAAACTAATTGAATTGTTAAGGAAAATCAGACAAAAAATATTCTAAGTCCTTGGGTCTTGGTTTCCCAGTGGAGAAGCAGTATTTTTTTTGATGGAAATGTGGCAGATTCTGAGGACAGCCTGAACACAAAGCTCGCCAGAAGAAATACATCTTTGACAAAGGCTGACACCAGCCATTTGCRCTTGCTGCCAGAAGGACCTCACAGTAGCAGAGAGAGAAGAGGAGAACAGAAAGCTGCTTTAAGCATGAYTCCATGTGCCACCATAGTCTGTGGCTGCAGGAAAACTTGGGAAAAATAATTGAAGTGGTTGCCCAAAAAGCAGAATTCCTCTTACTAAAGAATCTTCTATTCAAGAATCTGAAAATTGTAAAGGTCTTATTACAGAGCAGAGAGTGGCAACGGAGGAATGAGGAGGCAGGCGGTGCTGTGCCAAGAGGAGAGCTGTTGGAAATGTCATGAAGAACCAGGGAGAAGAAATGCACATGGCAGAATATTGGTAGCTGGCCATATTTAATATGGCACTGTAAAGACATCATCTTTGCTTTTTCCTTATTTCTTCGTCTCTTTTTTGCTTTTGTTTTTGAACTCCCGGAAATCTCTGCAATGTTTTGGATTCTCTCGTGAGAGGTCATTGACAGAAAGATTGTTAAGTGCCTGCAAAAGTATCATCAGGGAGATATAAAGTTGTAAAGTTTCATTAAAATCACTGTGTCTGCCTAGACTGCCCTGAGAGCCACAGTTTTGTTTAAAACATGAGATGAAAACCAAGTCTCCTTTGATGTCTGTTTTGGTGTAAAGCACATGTGTCTGAATTTTAAAATAAAGAGAATTTATTTCTGAAAAAAAAGAAAATAAAAAAAAAGATTTGTTCTTGAATTTACTTTATAGCTGAGCAGCAAAAAGAGAAACAGGAGACAAGTTTGTCTCAAAGCAGTGCAAGGAGAGGTTTTGCTATCGTCTCGAACAAAACAAAACTTGACCCACTCAGCATAARACATATAAATCAACCAAAAACTTTAATAAATGGATACCTTTAATAGTGATAGGGAAGTCATCTTTGATGCACAGCAGAGCTCAGTGCAGGTTTCCTGAATAGTACTTCTTCCTGGAAACTGAAGGCTTCTTGGTCCCCAGAGAGAAGTTAAATAAACAAACGCAGGCAGATTGTCCATGGCAAACACAAGGCACTGCTGGACGCAGGATTTTCTGAGGCTGCTCCTTCCACAGGCTGATGGGGCTCTCCAGCTCACCTCCCAGTTCTGTGATGGTGCAGTAGACATTCCTGAGGGAATTCCCAGGAAAATTTGTCTGATGACAGGCACCAGGAAGCAGCATTCCTAAAACTAGTTAAAATCTTTCCTCCTGGGGCCAAGTATGCATTAAATCATACCAAGGTAAACAACAGCAGAGTGTAAGAATATGTTAATTAGCAGAGATGCCACCAGCGGGAAGGTGATATCTGAGCTTCCCTTTTGCCACCACAGGGAACAAAAACACAGTAAGTGTAAAAAACACTCTTTCATACACAAACTCCATGTTTTACAGCACAGTTTCTCAGGAAGGTTTAGAAATAACGTCACCTCTGTGCCAAAAGGTAAAAGCCTCACACATTCCACCATAGGGATCCCACCATAGGGATCAGATGGGAAGATGTTGCTTCTGACTTCCCTGGGAAGGGAGAATGGGGCAGCCCTGCTGTTCCTCAGCATCATGGAGGTAGCAGGACAAGTTTTACGGTGCATTTAAGCAACTGTCTTTTAAAACAAAATATGCCCCTTTCTGTATACRTGCCTGGAGGCAAATAGCATTTCAGCTGACTCATGGCATCAGATTTAGGAGGGAAAGCACATGGTTGAGCTACAGGAACCTTACCTCTGCAAAGAGTGCCAGCTGTAATGGTATAATGGCTAAAATGGTTCGGCCACAGACATCTATTGTTAACAATTGGCCACAAACCAGCCCTTCCAGCAAGCACATAGCTGATCCAGAGCCCCTGGGGGGAAAGGCTCAATCCCATTATAAATCCTGTTGCCTGTAATTTTGTTTTCTGCAATTCTAAGTAAGTGGAACATCAAACCCCTTGGTGAGTCACAGGAGAGGAAAAAAAATTTAGAAGAGGTTTTCTTCTGAATGCTTTTGGTGCAAGAAACAAATCCTGTTTTTCAGTAAGCATTATAAATAGAAATGTTTAACTGGAAAAAGGAGCCTGGATTAGGGCCAAAATAACATGGAATCCAGGAAGTTAAACAGACTCAGAGATTTCCAGCCCTAAAAGCTTGCTAGCATCTTTAAGGGCAAACTGGGGATTCCTGTCTACAGGACTAGTGCTGCGGCCAGCATGACCGATTATTTTCCTGAATATGGGACAAAGGTGTAAGGTCAATCTTTCCAGCATGAAGTGGGTACCCACGGCAATTCTCTGGCAGCCATGGCAAGACCACAGAGGTTTTACAGCTGGCCAGATGTCACAGTTCACAGAAGGGCAAACATCTGAAGCGGCGCATTTAACTTCTGTCCYGCTGCAGCGAAACTGATTTAATCAGAACTGCGCTAAAAATCCCTGACGTCCCCCACTCCTGCCAGCACAGCGCACATGAGGCTCTCTCACACACCATAAGGACTTCTAAGTACTTGCACRGGGGTGAGAAACCATCGCAGCCACTTCAAAATGATGTGGTGGCTTCCAGCCCCTTCTGCAAATTAGAGGTTGCAAGACACAAAATGGCAGCAGCACAAAGGGAGCAGCAGCCTGCACAGCAGCTCCAACAGCACAGCCGGGGCAGAAATACCTTTTCTCAGGAAAGGTATTTCTGCTTCCCACTGGCTACTAAATGTTGAGTAGCCAACTTGGCTAAAAAAAAAAAAAAACTTGACTAAAACACTCCATTTTGTTCTTCCTTACAAGGTTTGGAGCTTGCATTCCTTTCAAGAATGAAGAAAACCATAAACTATCTTATACTGTGTACAGGAAGAAAAAAATAGGTGTTCTTGTTCAAAATTTATGAGAGTGGTATTTTCAGGGTGTATTTTAGGAAAATAAGTCCATTAACTTTCAGTAGACCTTGTTCTATCACAGCACTAAAGGAACTCTAAAAATTAGGACTCCGTGTGCCTAATAAATTTACATTAAAAGATTAATTTYGAAAGCCTCCATCATCTCTGAGGAATAAAAGTACAGGTGAATATAGCAATTCTTTTCTTGCCTTGTCTCAAAATAATACCTGCGAGTTTCAGTTTTCTTTCTATATCATCCCCTGTAACCTCAGCCCACAATGAGAAATTAAATGTGCACTCCCAGGGGCTAATCAGTCTGCAAATTATATTAATGCAGAGAAAAAAGATGCTACTGTAAATTTTGTGAAAATAAACGTTATGAAATCAAGAGATAAAAAAAWTCTTTCTCTTATTCTGACAGAGGCCTCAAAAATACCTACTGGAGAGCTGCTGTTGWAGCAGCTGYAGCAGAGYTGGGGACAGKAGCAGTGAATTTCTATCAMTGTTTTTTTCCCTCAAAGCTGCCCAGAAAATGCATACACATGAACAGGCAACTGCCCAGAATATGAACATGAGCAGTCAGCAATTAAAGGGTAGGATGCCATGACATCCTACCAGAGACTAAGGGGATGAGGGAATTAGCTTCATTTCATAGGAGGTGTGAAGTTTTAGGTCAATTAAATAAACTAAGAGCTCTTAGGCAGTAAGCAGGGAAATCTCTTGATCAGTAGCAAAC